GAAGGTGGCATTTTTGCTAACCTTGATTGGTCATGACTGTTATTCGACGTAAAAAAAAATAATGGTGGCGCAAAATCCAACAACAAAATCCTACAGCGAGTTAGTAGAGATACTAAAGAAGTATTATACACCTGATGTTAATGAAATTCTTCAGAGTTATAAATTTCATCAGGATGATCAACGTATGGGCCAACCGACGACGAAGTAAATTGTGGAATTGTAGACCTGTCTGTCTAATTTTTTTTTGTTGACTACTTTCTACATATTCCATACGAACTTTTTGTAAACCAAAAGTTGTAAAACCCAACCCAACCTAACCCATACGTAATGAACAACAGTCAACCATACCGATCTTTTGCTACATTGCTGCGCATGGAATAGCATTTGTCTCTTTACTATGATAAATTTCGAAACTAACTATTTTAGCATACGAATAATTTATCTTTAAATCCCAAATCAATGCGATCTTTGTTCCTTTAGGGTGCGCAGTGAATTTTGGAGCGGGCGGTGTTTTTTTCCAAATCGGCTTGGTCAATATTTGTTGTGCAATAGGCAACGGTGGCGGGTACCTGAGGTTTGATCTTCCCATAGATGGAAAATATGATGTGTTCTCAAATCATCGTGATACTTAAGAATCACTCACGCATTCCATTTCTACAAAAATATTATTAATCGAATCAAATATTTCCAAAAAACTTGAAAAAATTAATTGTCTAGTAAAATATTTTAGAACGTAAAATTACGGTGTGATGTTATTTTCTTAGAAAAAATGTTGATCATTTAATAATAAGTTACGTAATCATAGAAACAAAACTGCTTATAAATATGTGATAATTATTTTGGCCTATGAATATAAACACTTGTAAAATGTTCTAATTTTTTTATCTAATTTCTAACGCAAAACGAATTTTTAGGGGATTATTATATTAATATTATTTATACAATATTATATCAAATTAAAATATCATAAGTTCTAGAAAATTTTAGGCAATCTCGTATTTTACTAGTCTAGTCATGATTCTTTACAGATTTGAACAACATAAGTTAGTGATTAATGTTTGGATTACTTAATACTCATAATACTTTGAATCTAGTGATAAAATTTGTTATAATTTTTGCAATATGAAATGTTTTCAAATAATTAATTGGATTTTTTAATAAAATATCTTATTATAATTTAATGTGTTTTCAATTGTAGTATNAATATCTTATTATAATTTAAAGTGTTTTCAATTGTAGTATTAAATGTAAAATTAATGTGCTCATGTTAAGGAAATTGTCTTAATACTATAAAAATTAGTTTTCAAATTAATGCAATTATTTCAAAAATACATTTTCCTTACATTTTGAACAGTCTGTACATTGGTACAAATAAAGTGAGTATATTGTATAGTTTGAAAACTAAATAACTGTTCTAATATTCTATCTATCAATAGGATTATTTGTTAATTTACAGTATAAATAACTTTTATTCTCGTTGTTGCTCTATGAATTTTACGTGACGTATGTATTCATCTATACAGACAAATAATTCATTAATATTTTTTTTTATATTTTAAGTGGAATGATATTGTGATTTGTTTATATAAATTATCCTATTATTTTTTTAATAGATGGTCTGTGTCAAATCAACACTAGCATTGATTTTTTTCTATAAGAAGATCACCCCTGTGCGACGAAAATTTGTGATTGAATTCTTGACATAGTAATGGTATTAACAAGAGAGTAACAACACATATTTCTCATTGTGTTGCTGCGACCGTATAGCAGGCACTGACTGTTAAATCTTGCGATAGGATAGGAGATTTGTACTGAAACCTTGCAGAAAATAGCGTAAAAAAGAGCTTTAGTGAGGTACGAGTTTGGACTTTTAGATCCATCGTCCGTAACAATAATCAATTGTTTACGATTCACCAAATACACATTCACTATACTGCTGCTATCCCACGAACTCCTCCTCTACTAACGATTCCGTTGCGCCTAATCGGCTAATTGTAAATAACTATTCAGTTTGTGCTTTCTTAGACACTATATCAGTGCCATTTTGCAAAATTCCATCACGTATGTCTCGGCCATCTATACATCAGACAACGGTCGATACTCAATTGGAATAAGAAAAAAAAATTGTGTTATCAGAAATTATGGGTATTCCGGTCACCATAATTCTAGGGTTTATTCCAATGCTTTGTTTATATGGCATTTTTATTCTTTTAATGAACGTACAAAGTATACGTAAAGACATGGTGAAGGGATGAGCAGAAGAACAGAAAGGAAAGGATTTAGACAATAATGGAACCACTACCACTGACAAACGGCTTCCATGATAGATAGTGTTGGTACTTCGTCTTTTGTTTGAGCTAGGCAAGGTTAATGTACAATAGAGTTCGATGTGCACAGAGATTTAGTCGATTATTAAGATTTATTTAAATAAGATTTAAAATCTTTAAAAAAACTCATTTTGTTTATTTTTAAAATATTGTAAGTGTTAATAAATCACTTTATATACTTGGTAATTTAAAATATGTGATATTGATTTTATAAAAAAATATCAAAAGGCTGAATTTTTTTTTATTAAACAATATTACTTCAAAACATAACTAGAAAATATCTGTGATTAAAGCTTATAAAAAATTATGATCTAGTTACTTTTTTAAATATTTTACCTGTTTATTTAATTGTAACAATTAATGTAATATGTGATATTTATTATGTAATTAAATTATTTTTTCTTAAAATAATATAAGAAAATGTTACTCAAGATTGTCAAGTATTTTTTAGAAGTGTTATTTAACTACTACAGATTTTGATTTTAAATGTAGTACTATATTATAATCGTTATTTTAAATAAAAGTATAAATTTTATAAAATTTACATAAATTAAGATTGTTTTTATTTTCAAATTTCATCTATAAGCATTTTGTTTTTTTTTTTGAAAACATGATATTGCGCGAGAAAAAAAGTAGTCTATTCAACAAAAATTTGTTGAATCTTATACTATTTGTCTTAATTAACCCTATAATTAATTGTATTAACTCTAAATTTGATTCCTTAGATGTTGTTTTGTACAGAATGTCTTTAACAAAGATCTAGTAGACCAGTTGTTACAAACATAGTTGATTATATTATATTGTGTGACAGCTAATCTCTAACGTCTTGCTTCACTCACCCCTTTGCCCACCCAGCACGGCAAATCGATGACAGTCGTGTCAATTGTCTTCCATTTACAATCAATTGTCGTAAGTCAAAAAGTCAATATAATCAAGTCAATAAATGTGTTATTCTCTTCTGTAGCAAGCACTTTCGCTTGAATGGTAGATTGTACGGCCAATGTACGACGTTATTCTTTTTTTATTTGTTTATTGTACCCTTGTGCTCAAAGTGTTCGTGCCCTTGCACGCCACTAGTGATTAGACCTAAATATCTTTAAATTATCACTAAATATCTTCATTGCCATAGTCACTTTTTCGCTGTCTGTTCTCATTTGCCATTACATGTGTGGATCTACATTCTGACTCGTCATAATCAGATGTTCGACACCATTATCACAAAATCACATGCAGTCCACTCATCACTCTCAACAACTTCATCTATTCAATTGAGTTTATATTATTTTTAATGCTATTTATTGTTTGTTTTAATTGAAATTAACTATTTTGTTTTATGCCGCTTAATATTTAATATTAATATTAATATTTAAGGGCCCCCCGTTACCCCTTAAATTTAAGATACTCTCTTAAGAATTTCTTATATATGTGGTTATTTGTTATTTAATTATTGTCAATTCTCGTTACTTATTTGATGTACAGTTAGCCATCATCTCAAAGGTGACCCATTACCGCTTCAATAATAGCGATTTAAACAGGCTTAAGGTAAAACGGCTTTCTAGTACGGTGTACAAATAGCCGTCTTACGGTCTAGCTGTGTCGTAAAAAATAAATGTATTAGTATTAAATAATAATCGAAAAGTAAATTTATTTTGTTTGTAATACTGATTTTTTTAAAACTATTTTAAAGGACTTTATAAGATGTATTACACACATTAACCGTTTGATGACGTAGGACACTGTTTTGCTCAACCCCTAAAATATCTTAATGTTTTTTATACAACTATTAATAATTAGTAATATAATAATCTATTTGTATGAAGTATATGATTACAATGTTTATTTATAATACACTTAATAAAAAATTTTATTTTTGATAAATAAATTATGTTGCATAATTTACGTATTTATTATTTTAAGGTTAGGAATTATATGCATTTATAAATTTCAATGGTCCCAATTTTGTGCAACTTTGTCATAAGACTATATAGTAGCCAAGAAATTTTTTTTTGTTTTAGGGAATAAGCTTCTTGTACTCCATCCAAAACAATAACATCAGTTACATTACATTAATAAGTTTTCATGACAATTAATAAAGATTTGTATTGGCCCGTAGTGTGTTCAGAATAACTAAACAAAATTTACAAATGCATATAATTACTAGCCCTAGATATATTAATAAACATTCTATATTATACAGACGGTCTTGAATCTAACTGACAACGCTTAAGACTTCTGATACAATTATCATTTTGTTGAAAATTTTTTAAAAATAATTATTGACATCTTAGACTACGTTGAAAGAAATTTTTTTAATATTTATCATTAATTAGAAAAAACAATCCCTTCTTTTTCGAATCTTCCTATGACCTGGCCAAAACAAAATTCAGAAATATTTGTATCTATATAAAAATGTTATCAAGGCGATATTATGTCCCGACGCTGACGCTTTGAAAGGATGCGTCACAATAATCACCTAGACAAAAATATTTTAAATATACCCGTAAGTTTCTCTGCGTTGTCTGGTAGCGCGATGTTTGTTAAAACAAAGACATTAATGACGAGACTAGCTACCCAATAAGAAAAGTTCACAATAAAATTTTACTATAAAATATTATTCTAAGTTGGATTGATTTTATTATTAAAATAAAATAATTTAAAAAGGTTTAATGTTTATAATATTATTCGACATTTATTTACACAATAGTAAAAATAAATAAAACATTATTATTTAATGAACAAATTAACTTAAATTAAAAGATTTACCAAAACAAAATTCACTTTAAAATTTCTATGTGTCATTTAATTTTTTAAAAGAAAAATCATCTGAGTCCAAATTAATTAAAAAAAAAGACCAAATTCCAGAGGTTGATATTTTGAGTAGAGCGTCGTAGATTTTTTGTATTTTAATATTACCGATAGAACTGGTTTTGACGAGGGAAAATGGCTTTTTAAATTCATAAGGGGGTAGTCAAGTGATTCCTAGCGTGATTTTGGAAGCTGAGGCTTTCTATTCTAATTGGTTAATTATAATGGAGTTTTGCGTGTAGGCGTTACTTAAAAATGTATAGAATAAGTAGATTTTATCCTATAATTATCTGGTTATTTTGTATTTTAAATAAGGGAACCCTGTTTTGGTGATCTTGTATATACATAATATGTGACATACATGTACTAACGATAACATCATATTATATGTTAATATTATAAGTGATAATATAACATTAAATGAAATTATTTTAAGTAAATTTTTTTAATTGTTAGGTTTCTGTGAAGTATAAATAAACAACATAATAATTTTAGTGACTTGGTAAATCTTTTCGTTTGAATAATTATGTTTAAATAATTATTAAAAATCAAAATTTGGTATTTCGTTTAATTTATCAAGTAAATCAAAACGAGTGTTTTAAAAATAATTTAATAACGCTGAAGTTGATTCCTTTCATATTTTTTTTTATGTACTCTAAGTAAAGGTTAGTACTATTAACGTAATAATTTATTAAATGGTCTGAACTTTCCATCTCAATTTTCAACTCGTTATTGGTTTGAAATATTTCTAAATTGGTAGTAAGTTCAGTTATTCGTTCTTTGATATTAAAATTTACATCGGTAAGTTTATTGCAAATTTTTCTCAGAATGAACTTGATTTCTTCGATAGCTAAATGATTCCTGGCAGATTTTTTTTCCAAAGTCAGTTGAATAGCAAATTTTAGGTAATTGATCAAACGAGTGAAATACGCGTCATCACCTAAATCAAAGTACCGCACAAATTCAATTGCATTTTCTACCATCGTTTTTAAACTTTTATTTAGTATTATAGTCCAACGTACTAGATTTTTATTAATTACTATACTTGATTTATATTCTGTTAACTGATCATTTACATATAACAAAAATTTCCATAGCAAACGCAAAAATAATATTTTCATCAAATCAATTGAGTCTTGAATGTATAAGTTAATATGTTTAATTTTTTCACTAATATTTAGTTTATTATATCTTAACTGTGTGAAGTTATTTATCATTCTATCTGGAATCTCCATGTCCTCTATTTGAATGTCTAAATAATTTATCAAATCTGTTATTTTATCTTTGTTATTGAAAACGTTATTCAACATTAATCGTTCGTGGAAAAATAAAAATCTATCATTTATCTTAAATCCAAAGCGAATATTTGCCAATATAAGTGCTTCTATCATATCTTTATTACATTTCATTATTTTTAATCTCTTCACAATTTGTTTTGGATTTAATTCTAAACTTTTAATATCACTTTGATGATTTAAGCCATCCAGTTTATAGTTGAACACGTTAGCGTTGTTACATCGATCGTCTGTTCTTTTTTGCAATACCCGTAAAACAGCATCAATTTCATCTATGCATACATTTTTATCGTCATAAGATAAATTTTTGGTGTATGATTCTTTTAAAAAATCTTGTAGAGATTTCGTATATACGTGAATGTACCATATTCCTCTCATAGATGTTTGCATACCACTAGACCACATTGATGCTAACATGTTTGTTGTTTCTTCAACGAAAAAACATTTTATCAAATCATCTTCTTCGATTAAACGTAATTCGTGAGTATCTTCTAAAAGATATCTTACTAAATGGAAGTAAAAAAGTGCGCTATACATGTAACAACATTTCAATCTATCACCTTGACTTTTCATTTTTTCCATGAGATTGTTGGAATGTAATTTCCAATCGTCTGAATAACATGAAAAAATATCATTTATATGTTTATTAATTTAAGTCATGGGTTAATTATTATGAATTTGACTAACAATAGAGAAAGTTTGAAGTGTTATTTAAGTACATATATTATATCTGATAAAATCATACGATGATAATAATGATAATAATATTAATACATTAATAATAATTAATAGTAAACTAAACATTTAGAACACGATAAAATGTTTTCAACATAACAACACAGGTTTATAATGTATTCAAGCCTTAATCAACGCTTTTAAGAGGACGCTACACAGAACATAAAACGTATACAACGCTCCAGAGATAGCGTTGTTTTCCGTATTGGCGAAGACCACGCCCTCCACCATTTCAAAATTATCGCTGCGTGCAATTGTCGTTTGACTTCAGTGCTACATTCTTTCACCGACTTCCGTGTTATAGCTGTCGTCTAGCAACATTAGTTTGCGCTTTATTATTAACGTAATACTCGCGCCTAACTAAAAACTATTGCACTCTCTGTGGTCTTAACTCTAAGGAATTTGTTAAAAATAAACGTATTGATATATTTGCTAGATTTTAATTTAAATCATACAATATGAACGTTTACTCATGATTAAAAAATACATAATATTTAAATTAGTTAAAATATTTTAAATGTTTATTTTTTATATAAAAAAGATAATTATTACGTAAAACAAATACAATAAGGATAATTATATTAAATATCATGCACACTTCTTTCCACTTTTTTTTTAATTGCT